AGGGATATCCTTAAGAACATGAGTGGAGCTGAGCTAAGTTCCACTGGACAGTTGGGGAGGGGAGGAGAGGAGACACGTGCTCAGCACCTAAGGATTTTGAAATAACGCAACAACCCTTTCTTTGCTCCCTGTGATAGCAGCAGGGATGAAGGTGGGGTGAATTAAAGAGGATTGGCCACTGAAGCAGTAGAACCAGGCCATCCAGTAAACTTTAAAAGGAGCCACTGCCCTATGGCATTCTACAGGTATGGGATGACACGGTGAGCCCCTCTTGCCCACCTCTGCCCCAGGAGCTATGGAGACTGAATGTGACAGTGAGCACATGTGCTTCCTAGGAGAGCCTGAGTCTGGGTCTTGGCCCTCCTGGCTGCTATTTCTCCTTGGATTTCTTTCAATGAGCATAGGTTTCCAAATGGTGATGTCTTGGAGGCAATCTCAAGAGTTTGAGACATCCATCGTAGGCCCTAGAGGCCTTCAGTTGGTGCCAGCTACAATGGGGGGATTTTTACCCTGAACTTACAACAAATGCTTCTTGGAGGAGAAAATGGCCATTGCTGGGAAAAGAGCTCAAGCCACTACCTAGCTTGCTAGGAGACAGGAATCTTAAAGGAGTTGCTCAGACAGTGTGGAGCTAAGATGAGGGTGCAATGGCTATTCCGAAAGTCTACAAAATGTTTCATGGTTTCGTGTTTTAAGAATCAACTTTCTGAGAGAATAATAGAAGTTACAAGTTGCTCTTTAGTATTTTAAGTCTTTGGCAATCTACACTTATAAGTCTTTGTGTTCTAAGAATGTCATTTGTGTCTAGGAAATAAATAGCTGTCCTATATCTGATCTAAATTGTACAATAACTACTTTCCTACGCCTACACATAAGCCAAACCTAAGTGATTTTTTTCTGGAGTGGAAACATAAAAGGTCAGGGATCACAAAAAAAGAGCCTGGATGTTTTCTTTAGAGATCAGGCTCTCCGAGGACTGAAACTAGACTGCCTGAGTCCAGAGCTAAGGCTCCTTTGTTGGAGAAGGTGCTCCCATTGCACCCAGACCATCTCTTGTTACCGAGGTAGAGATGTAGAGATCAGTGGGGTTACCTGGGGGTAGCGAGAGAGAGAGAGAGAGAGAGAGAGAGAGAGATGACCGCAGCAAAGCAGAATAGAGGCAGGTAAAAAAGATGATGGCTAAAACAGCTTAGGTGTCCTTCATCCAGGTCACCCTATGTTCCTCCTCCATTTATCGGCCCAGGGGGAGGGAGGGTATAATGATTGTGGAGGTCAAAGGACCTCAGTTCAAATCCTGCCTCTGATGCTATCTACTTTTATGACCATGGGCAAATCACTTCACCTCTCTGGGCCTCAGTTTCCTCATCTGTAAAATGAAGAGATTGGATGGTATGGTCTCTGAGGTTCCTGCTCGCTCCAAATCTATTACTCTCTGCTCTCGGTTGTGAGTCAATTGCCCTGGGACACAACCAAACCTGAGCTAGTTGTCCTTTTGTATTTTATCTTGAGATGAGGGGAGAAGGAATTGTAGCATGCTGGGTACTTATTCTTATCATCATAAATGACATCATCAAAGTACTCACCATTCTACAGTTCCTACCCCAATACCCCAAGAAATAATTGCTAGCATTTATGCAACACTTGAAGATTTGCAAAGTACTTGACAAATATTGTCTCCCTTTACCCTCACAATAAACTGTGGGAGATAGATGCTATCTATCTATTTATCTATCTATCTATCTATCTATCTATCTATCTATCTATCTATCTATTGTCATTTTACAAAGGAGGAAACTGAGGAAGACTGAGGTTAAGTGACATGCCCAGGGACACACAGCTCCTGAGTGTCCCAAGTAGGATTTGAACTCAGGTCTTCTTAACTCCAGGTTGAGTCTTCTTTCCCCTGCACTACCTAGGTGCTATTATGCTATGCTTTTTTATTACCTCAGTCATTAGATACTTTTTGAAGTAATGACTTTGATAAAGGTTATTTAATGAGATAGAGTTTAAATCAGGTTCCCTACCCGTGCTTTAAAGGAATGGAGGAAAGTCTGATAAACAGGTAGGCAAATGTAATTACATTGGTGTACTCAGGCATAGATTGTAGAACTGCAGGTGATTGACTCCTCCCTACAGATCCAGAGAGGAACAGGCCTCCAGACCCTGGCCTTTGGACCTTTCTCGGGCTGCTTGCTTGCTGTCTTCATACACACTCATGTCTTCCCCAACCCCGCCCCCATCATTCTCTATCTCTACTCACTGCCTCCACTTTCTCTCCTCTCCAATCATCTGAATGAACCCTTGGCCACCTGGCTTCCGACCTCTTCACTCACCGGAACCTGTCTCTCTCCAGAATTACAGATGACCTCCTATGGGCCAAGCCTAAAGGCCTCCTTTTGGTCCTCACTTCGGCCTTTGATGTTACTGATCACCCTCTTCCCTAGGCGCCCTTCTCCCTAGATTTCACGATTTGGCTCCTGTGCATCTCCTTGCACCAGTCTCTTGGTGGATCTTCCCCCAAGTCACATCTGCTTATTTCGGGGGAACCTCCAGGCTTTACCTGGGGTCTTTGCTCCCTGTATCCCTTTTTTTTAATTTTTATTATTATTGGCTATCTCATGGTCCTACTGGATATACCTAACTGGATCTCTATGCTGGTGGATACTCCTTAGACATCTTAAATTTGACACAGCTGAAACAACTTACTGTCTTTCCCCCCAAATCCTCCCTTCTTAGAGCTTCCTTATTATGGAGGCTCACAACCTAAGAGTCATCCTATATTTGTAGAGCATGGGAAAGTTTGTAAAGTGATCTGTATACATTATGTCACCTGTTCTCACTAGAACCTGGGGAGGAGGGAACTGTGGCCTGCACATGTTATGTGACTGGCTCAAAGCCACACATTGAGCAAGGAAGGGTCAGATTCAAATCCAGGGCTCCTGAATGCCAAGTCCAGCTCTCATTAGCAGGCTGCTTCCATGGCTGGGTCCTAGTGTGGCCTTCCTCGATTTCTGGAGGCTTAAGTCCCGGCATAATATAGATTTAAAATCAGAAGCCCTGGGTCCAAATTCCAGTTCTGTTTCTTACTAGGTGTAAATGACCTCAGGCAAGTAACTTTACTCCCTTCTGCCTCAGTTTCCTTATATGTACAAAGAGGAATTTGGACTAGACAATCTCTGAGCCTCTTTCAGCTCTAACATCCACTGATTATCTATATGGAGGAGGGTGAGGTTGTACACTTGGGACAACGTAATGAAAAACACCAGTTGAGGAAACAGTGATTGGGCACCAACTAAAAAGACTGGAGGGGTCATAGCTGACCACAGGTAGGAGGATCTAACTCAGGTGGCAAAATGCATGGAAAGAACTGGGTTTAGGTCCCGGCTCTTCCATGTACTGGCCATGTATCTGTGGGGAGATTCTTGATTGCTCTGAGCCTCAGTTTCCTCATCTGTGAAATGGGCATGATAATACTTGCATTACTTACCTACCTGACAAGACTCTAGTTCTATGTGGGATCACTTCTGCTCGTAGTCAGAAGGAGCCTTGGGGGAGCTAGGGGAGGAGGTTAGCTCCAAGGCCTCGGGAACGTTCTGAGTCATGCTTGGGAGAATTCCAGTTCAGGCCAAATTTCCTTCCCCTCCCTACCCCACCCCTCTGCCTCTCATGCCCCCACCTCAAGGGAGCCTCTTGCTAGTTGATTTAGAACTCCCAGATTATCTTGAAACTGACCTAACCCTCCTGAGGTTTTTAGGATTTGAGAGATAAATCTGAGCTTGCAGCAGGTCTCATAGGGTGGTTATATTCTCAAACAGCCTACCTGGCCCCCGTCCAGGCTCAAACCCTAGGCTGGTGCCACGAGCCTGTGAAATCACCCCCTAAGCTTTAGGGTATGAGTCAGCATACCCAAGCGGCCCAGAGTAGACCCTGTGCAATAAATAACCTGTGTGGAATTGGCTTGAGAGTAAGGGAGGAAATTCTGGGCAGCCCTCTTTCCAGCCTGGCTGGGATCCAGGTGAAAGGTACCCCAAAGCAGGGGCTTTCTGCGCGTATGCCGAGCCACAATTTCCCCCTTCCAGAATTTAAATCACATTTCCCCTCCACCCCCGCCCCTACTCCCTAGCTAGTTCATGTGAGTGGACTGCACACCGAACTCCAAGGCTTAGGGCAGAGCTAATTCTGAAAGAGGATCCCCGAGAGCTTGCTGAAACAATGTACCAGGGGCCGCAGACAAGTGATAATGCACTAAATTATTCGGTCCCGTAGGGGAACGTTGGAGCATTCTAAGAGGCTGACGGGCCGAACCAAATCCGCCTTTTCATTTCTCCTTTCAAACCGTCCAACTGAGCGCTAAACAAGGAGGCTAAAAATAGAAACCCTCCAACTATAGTGTGCTGAGCAGTTTAATAAAACATTAAATGAAACAGCTCCTCCGGAAGGGTCAGCCAACAACAACGGTCCCCCAACACCCACATGACAACTTGCTTGTCTCACTGACACTCCTACGCCCTTATTGGGAAGAGCTAAATAGCTAACTCGCTATCTTTCCTACAGATATCCTTCCCTCTTCTTTGTACAGACTGCTCCTTCCACCCCACCCCACAAAACCTGGAGTGCTCTTCCTCCTCATCCTTACTTCCAAGAATCCCTACCTTCCTTCAAGGCTCAGCCAAAGCTTCTTTTCCAAAAGAGGTTTCCTACATCCCATTCCCAGCCAACTGCTACCGTTCCATGTCCCACCCCCCAACAACAATTAATTTGTATATATTCCGCAATGACTTATCTGCGCCATACTCCAGTAGAATATAAGCTCCTTGGGGGCAGAGTCTGTTTTGTTTTCCTGTCTCTAGTGCCCAGAACAGTGCTTGGCATACACCAGGTGCTTAATAAATGCTTATAAAATAAATAACTTTTGAAAGTGGTTTTAAGATTTCGCACCATCTTGAGGAGGGAGGTGGGAAGGGAGGGGAGAAAATGTAAAACTCAAAAGCTTATGGAAGTGAATGTTGAAAACTAAACATAATTTAATATATATTTTTTTAAAAAGTAAGTGGTTTTAGTGTCGTTCAGTTTAAATTCCTGGCTCACAAAGTACAATTCTTCAACCAGCTTTGATATCCTATCTTTGCACAATACTTTAAAAAATTTTTGGTTTTTAAATGACTTATTTATAAATATATCCCTTCCCCTCTCTTCCCCAGCAAGCCATCCCTTGTAATACAGAATATTTTTTTAAAAAGAAATACAGGAGAAGTAAAGAAAACGCCAGCTGGTTTGGCAGGTTAGGTAACGCTCCATACCTGGAGATCCCTATGTAGTTTTGATTTTGCCTGAAGAAGGCCAAGGTAGCTTCTGCGGATTTCCTGTAGCTTTTGATGAACTCTGTCACTTTGCAGAAGCCTTCAGCCAGGCCATCCCCTGAAATGGCACAGCAAGGCTGCACGTACCAGTCCCGGTCACCACAGATTTTCTTCATCTTGAATTTCCTGGTGACATCCTCGGCCGCGAAGGCGCCGGGCAGATCTTGCTTGTTGGCCAGCAACAGGACTGGAACACGCCTCATGTGCTCATTCTTCAGGAGAAGCTTGAATTCTCTTCGGGAGTCCTCCAGGTGCCTCTGGTCGGTGCTGTCCCACCACATACACCAGCACATCCGTGTTCTCACAGTAATGGCCCCAAAAGCTCCTCATGTGGAACTGCCCTCCGACATCCCAGACTGTAAGATGGATGTTTTCCTCCATCTCTATCATCTCCACGTTGAAGCCAATGGTTGGGAGGGTCATGAAGTCCTTGGCCTGCTTTAGTTTGTAAAGGATTGTTGACTTCCCTGAGAAATCCAGTCCCAGGAGCAAAACTCGGGCATACTTGACCTTGGAGAATTTACAATTCCAGATACCCATTCCAAGCCCTTGTCCAGAAGCTCTACCTGCCCTTCCTTCAGGTCCTATAGAAAAAGGCTGAGAAGGAGGGAGCAGAAGTTGCTGTGGGCTGAGAACAGAGACCTTTGTACATTTATACTTTGCCTTTGTTGACCCAATTATAGGCAAACAGTGTTTTAGGAGTGGTTGATGTGGCCAGCCTATCCTAGGACTGGAGGTGCTATGAGGCATGAGACATGAATAACCAATCGCCCCATCAATCTTGCAGCCCAAAGGTTGAAATATTTTACAAGGGAATAGGATCGTGGTAGTGCCATGCCCTGGAAAGACAGCGGCTCTGTTCTTCTTCAAATCTGCCAGAATTTGAGTCAGAAAAGGCAGTTAACCAATCAATCGATCAATCGACAGCACGTGCCAGGCACTTGGAGAACTGCCTTTGGAGAGCAGTGCCCTGGTCCCACCACAGAAGACTGAGTTTGCAAGACTTGTAGCATCCTGGGAGCTCAGACCTGGGAGTGACCTCTGAAGGGTCATCTGGTCTAGCTCGGCCCAGAACGTGAACCTTTCCGCGACACTGCAGGCACCCACTTCTGCCTTCCAGATGGATCCCGTTCTGCTTCGGGGCCACTTTATTTGTTAGGAGGTTTTCCTTTAAACCAGGAATGCTTAACCTTTTCGTGTGCCTTGGACTCTATCTCAGAATAATGTTTGTAAATGAATAAAATAAAGTACCTAAGATTAGAAAGCAAACCAAGTGTTTTGAGATGCCGTGTGGTAAAGTCTAATATTTTTAAATGCCTACCACAAAACACACAGGATTTTGAAGGAAATCGGTTATACTGAAATAGTTACTTTTCAAAAACCAAGTTTATGGACCTTGAGGTAAGCACCCCTGCTTTATATCACAATGATATCTTTGTCTCTGCAATTTAGAGTGAGAAGGAAATAGATTTAGAATTGGAAGGGACCTTAGAAGCCTCTCCATTTTACAGATGAGGAAACTGAGGCCAAGACAGATTCAGTGACTTGCAGGTAGAAGTGAGTAAAGCTGAGATTTGAACCCAAATGTTCTGACTTCAGATGGAGAGATCTTTCCATTGCAACACACTGCTTCCATTGTGGTGCCCAGGAGGAAAGTCTAATGCCTCTTCGGTATGAAAGCCCTCCTTGTTCCCCATTATTCTTGTCTTCTACAGGCTCAGCACCTCTAATTCCTTCATTGGATCATTCTGGGGCATCATCTTGAGCATCCCCTAACTTCTCATTATCCTTCCTCCAATATGGCTCCTCCAGGATGGGTCTGACCCTACAAAAAAGTCAGTCTTGCTTTTCCTCAAGTATCACTCATTGTATGCACAAGGAGTCAGTGGAGGAGAGGAAGAGAGTCTGTAATTCTTAAATGATCTGTCCTGCTGCTTTACTGCCTTATTGTGGGTCATCAAGCATTGGCCGGCCTGATGATTAGACTAGTATTTATTGTTTATTTTAGGAGTTATTTTTATTTTCTTTGATTATTTTCTTTACTAAAATTTTAAGGATGCAGTCGTTTTCAGATGTACCTCTACCTCTTCCATACGACCCTCCCTTGCACCAAAGAGAAAGAACTAAGCCAGACCAGCCAACACAGCAGTTGTGCCTGACAATGTATATGGTGCCTTGTCTAGGATGGTTCCCCACCTCGCAATGGAGAGTAAGGGTGTACATTTCATCCTGTTCTCTGTGATCAAGTTTGGTCATCATTCCTCCTGCTTTAGCAGAATAGAAGGAAGATGAACTAAAATCTTAAATTGAATTAATTTTTAATTCTTAAATGTATATGCGTAAAACTGTTAGACCAGAGGATACTGCTACTCTGCTTTGCATGTAAGAGGCTCTAGTTTGTGTGTGTGTGTGTGTGTGTGTGTGTGTGTGTGTGTGTGTGTGTGTGTGTGTTTTAGGCTCTAGTTTTGATGCCTTACACCTCCACACAAGATTGCCATTAGGTTATTAGCTTCTGGTGGAGCAGAGGCGGCTAGGTTTGGATAGAGCCCAGGGCCTAGAGTCAGGAAGACTTGAGTTCAAATCCAGCCTCAGACACTGACTAGCTGTGTGACCCTGGGCAAGAAACTTGCCTGCTTCAATTTCTTCTTCTGTAAAATGGGGATCATAATAGCACCTACCTGCCAGGGTTGTTGTGAGAATCAAATGAGATAAGATAAAATCACCGTACTTAATAAATACTTGTTTCTCTCCTCCCTTCCTGGAGAGCAAACTGAAGGTCATTTCTGCGTCTCTCCTTGCCCCAGCCCTGTGCATATGGTAGGTCCTGATATTGCTTAAAATTAATAGAATCTAAAAAAACCCCACTTAGCCATCAGCCGAGGTCAAGCATAATATAAGGAGGTATCTAGAGGGAAGCTCAAGGCTCCTTCCGCATGTTCTTCCTGCCAAAGTGCTGCTGGCACCCAGGCACTGAGTTCACAAGTGGAAAGGGGGACCTCTCTTTCCCTGATCTTGGGGGATATTCCTTCGGATACAAAGATTGCAGCTACTCTGTGCCCACCCTTCTCCTCCCCTGAGTTTGGGGTTGGGTGGGGGGAAGGCATTCCCACAGACTGCGGGCCTTTCCCTGTTTTGCTGAACACTGTAAGAATATCCACGGAGAAGGGGCAGCTAGATGGCGCAGTGGATAGAGTACCGGCCCTGAAGTCAGGAGGACCTGAGTTCAAATATGCCTTCAGACCAAACACTTGACACTTACTAGTTGTGTGACCCTGGGCAAGTCACTTGACCCTAACTGCCTAAGAAAAGAATACCGATGGAGAACATGGGTTGTTTATCCCATGGGTTGTTTATCCCTTAGTTATCTCTTGCTTTTGATTTGTTAAATGGGGATGATGATCATTGATCCCTATCAAATGCAGGGGCCTGTTGTGAGGAAAATGCTTTGTGAATCTTAAAACACTACATAAGCACAAGTTATTATTTTGAAGGGATGTAACATTTTCTTTATTTGGGGTGTTTTTGGTTTATTTCCGTACGTGCTTATTTTAGGGTAAATACTACTGCTTCGTTTGAGACATATATATATATATATATATATAAAATATGTGTGTATGTGTGTGTATATATATATATATATAATTCCCACTGTCATTTTGCTTTTTTTTTTTTAGTGAGGCAAGTGGGGTTAAGTGACTTTCCCAGGGTCACACAGCTAGTAAGTGTCAAGTGTCTGGTCTGAGACTGATTTGAACTCAGGTCCCCCTGACTCCAAGGCCTGAGCTCTATCCACTGCGCCACCTAGCTGCCCCTCCACTGTCATTTTGCAATGGCTTTGTGGGGAGGGGTAAGAGAACTTGGCTTTTTTTTTTTTATTAAATTTTAATTTACTTTCAAATGAAGACTCATTCACCTTCTCTCTCCAGTCACTTCCTCTTCCCCACCCCATAAAGAAAGCAAGAAAAACAAGATCCTCTGTTACAACAACTTGACTGATTCTGGGTTGGGTAGATACTGACTGGTCTTGGACAAGTCACTTAACACATCTAGGTCTTTGTTTCTTCATCTGTAAGATGAGGGGTTGAGCTAGATGATCTCTAAGGGCCTGTTGACCTAAGTGGTTACTTTATTGGATGTAGTGCTGAACCTGGAATCAGAAAGAACTGTGTTCAAATCTTACCTCAAACACTTTGCTGTGTGACCCTAGGTGAGTCACTTCACTGCTGTCTGCCTCAGTTTCCTCCTCTGTAAAATGGGGATAATAAAAGGACCCACCTCCTCAAAAACTTTAAAGTGTTCTATCAATACTAGCTATTACTATTATTAGTATAATTAAATAAATAAAATATTCCAGATGTAGTTTGGCCAGTTCAGAATACAATGGAATCATAATCTCTGTTGTTTGATACCTTATGCTTCTGTTAATGCAGCATAAGATTGGATTGGGTTTTCTTGGCAGCCCTATCTCTTAAAAAAATCATTTCTTTCTTTCTTTCTTTCTAGTTTTCAACATTCACTTCCATAAGATTTTGAGTTCCAAATTTTCTCTCCCTTTCTTCCCTCCCCCCACCTCAAGACAGTGTGCACTCTGATATAGGTTCTACATATATATTCACGTTAAACATATTTTCACATTAGTCATGTTGTAAAGAAGAACTAGAACCGATGGGAGGAATCATGAGAAAGAAGAAACAAATAAACAGACAAAGCGCAAATAGTCTGCTTCCATCTCCATTCAGACTTCATAGTCCTTTCTCAGGACGTGAACAGCATGTTCCATCATGAGTCTTTTGGAGTTGTCATAGACCCTTGCATTGCTAAGAAGAGGTAAGTCTGTTAAAGTTGGTCATTGAACAATGCTGCCATTACTATGTACAACATTCTCTTGGTTCTGCTCACTTCACTCAACATCAGTCCATACAAGTCTTTCCAAGTTTTCTGAGGTCCACCTGCTCATCACTTCTTATAGCACAATAGTATTCCATTACGTTCATATACCACAACTTCTTCAGCCATTCCCCAACCGGTGGATATCTCATCAATTTCCAATTCTTTGCCACCACAAAAAGAGCTGCTGTAAATATTTTTGTACATGTGAGTCCTTTTCCCATTTTTATGATCTCTTTGAGATACAGACCTAGAAGTGATTTTGCTGGGTCAAAGGATATGCACAGTTTTATATGTTGGCTGACATCTTATGCTGTGGAGTCACTCTGAGATAACAAAGAACAACCACACACACACACACACACACACACACACACACACCTGTTTTTTTTTTCGGATAAAATGCTCTTTAGACTTAGCCTTCTATAGGTTTGGTTCTTTTTTTTTTTAAACCAAAGTGCCTAAAGACTTCGTATTTCTCTTTCTATTTTGATGTCTCAAGGTGGCATGGAGATAGATGACCTTGGATTCTTAAAGTCTTGGGCTCCTGAGAACAAGCTCTGGACAGGCTGTGTGCCCGTTGTCTGAGCCAAGTTTAGAGGCGCTCATTGCCAGGCTGACTGCAGGGTGACAATTGTTGAGTCACAGTCACTTGATCTGTTGGGCGAGTTAACCCTTCTTATTTAGCATGAGGGGTGAGGAGTATCCACCCTGGTGAGTGAGGAGTATCCACTCTGGTGAAATT